CCAGGGGAAAAATGTCCTGAAGTTGGAAGGTGGTAGAGAAGCCAGGGATCTGATATGATGGGTAGTCAGGGGGTTGAGAGAGGGTAAACAAATACCACTGACCCAAGACTCATTCACACAAAATTTCAGAATGTGATTTTGAGTGTCTTCAAATGAATTAGACCCATGAAGTCTGCTTGAATTCTAAAGCAGATTCGAAATGTAAACTATAAAAATAAAGACCGATACTTGTCGCATTGCTTTGGCTTGGGTCTTCAATTTTTAACGTGTAGAGAGTTTCAAATTTTTGATGGGTTTCTCTTCTCCCCTGTTGACAGCCTTGCCAAGTATATGTGGAAGTGGTAAGGACTGGTTAGGCAGGGGTGGTGGGAGGCAGAGCACAGTTCTGCAGAGAAAAAAAGGCTACAATTCACAAGCGAAACCCCCACGAATACACAATGCACACGCATGCACACACGCAGGCACGCACATATACCACTACATATCTGGAGTCCTGGAGTACAGATGTCATCTAATTTTTTTTTTGTATCAGCCTTATTTTGAGTCATGTCAATTCAATTATTCAGTAATTTTTCTTCTAAAAGATGCTGAGAGGAGTCAATGAGTTATGATTAGACTCTCCATCATGAGAAAATCTCCTCATTTTCTGGTTCTAAAGATAAGGAACTTTTTCATGCCTCCTCTAGAGTGGACAATGTGGGTCCGCCTCAGTAGGCAGCCTGTCAGTGGTCAGCTTCTCCCAGGGTTTCCTTCTAGACAGACCAAGTAGACAGAAAAGCAAGGCCAAGGGGCCTGCATTCTGCATATGAAAGTTATTGAACCAAAATTGAATCACTTTTGTCAAATGCAAACCACACAAATCACAATAAATAAATATATGAATGTGTGAATGGTGTGAAGAAGGGGTCCCAGGCACAAATGACTCAATCAGAGGTGTCTCAAAAGAACTTTCTGAATCATGGCTTTGCACAAAGGCCACCACAACCTTACACACACACACACACACACACACACACACACACACACACACACAAATGCTTCTGCCCAACAACTTCCTGTTTGATCTGAATCACCCTTGCTACTGAACCTGCGGCCAAGGATTATTATTTCACAATACCTTATGCAACCCCTATTCTCGTTTCCCTTTAAAAGCTCCCCTTGCCTTAACTTCCTTAAATTTCCACATTGTTTACTAGGACACGTGCATCACTACCCTGTGTCCATTCTTAAATTTATTTTCTTTGGAGCATCTCTCTGTCAAATAGTTTTTGGCACATGCAAAGGAAGCAGTGGGTTCTGATCAGAGTAAGACCTTCTGGAGCCACTGGAAGCCCAGAAGTGGAGGGAAGATTTGGTTGAATTGATTCAGGGTCTTGGTGCTAACTGGTGCTGGGTGCTCTTTGGAGGGACAGTAGGCATTAAGATGGGATGTGAGTTGCCCTTACATCCAGTCCTGGGTCCTGTGTGTGGCGGGGGAAGGGTCGGCGGGAGAGTAGCCAGAGGCAGTCAGTGTTAAGCCTGGTCTACATTAATTCCCATCCTTTTTCAGTTTGCCTCTTGGGAACCAAAATGCTGAGAAGGAAGCTGAAGGGAAGACTGGAACAGAAAATCTTTCCTCAGTGAAGCCTGGAATGCTTTGAGCAGCAGAGTGAAATCTGTAAAATCTCAAAACTCTATGCATATTTTGTTTCCACTTTCTAGACAACCTTAACCTGGAATGTGAAAGGATCGGTGGCATTCTAATAAAACTTACAGAGTCTTTCTTTTTAAATGTGTTTTTCTATGTTTTAAACTCCTGAGCTTGAGCAAGTCTCTTGTTTCCTGCCTCCAAGTAGCTAGGACTTCAGGCATGTGCCAGCACGCTGGCCAGACCCACTTTTTTGTTTCTGTTTGGAATTATAAAGCAAGCACCATGAAAACTGGAAAGAACTTTTGAGCTTATAAATAATGAAGCCAGAAGTGTTTATATCCTCATCTCAAAAATAGCCAAAGAAGAAAGAGGGTGATATGTGCTCAGAGCTACAGTCCAGGAGTGAGAAGGCCCCCAGAGGCTGGAAAAGGCCAGGACAGAGAGGCTGTCCCAGGGACCCCAGCAGGGACCCAGCATTGCCCATAGTTCACTTTTTTAAATTAAGCAATTTTTTAAAATTGTGTGTGTATGTGTGTGTGTGTGTGCACGTGCAGGTGTCTGTGGAAGGTTAGATCCCTTAGAGATGAAGCTACAGACAGTTGTGAACCACCTGATGCGGGTGCTGGGAATCAAACTCCAGTCTCTGCAAGAGCAGCAGGCACTCTTAACTGCTGAGTCCTTATCGCCACCTTCGATTGTTAATTTGCAAGTACTAATGGGGAAGAATAGCTTTTCTCTTGCCTCTATGAATATGATGCAGAATTTTTCTATTGTTGTCCAGCTGACCAGAGTAGGCCTTAGAAGTCTCGAGTGTATGAGATTTTATTGTGAAATTTATCCTAGGTGTTCAATGGTAATGTATTTTCCCATAAAACTGTAGAATTCTGGCTTGATAAGCACAAATGAATTGTGAGAACAATGTACCAAAGTATCTGGAGTTAAGACTTTCCCCTTAAACTGGGGACACTTCATGATGTTAGTGGCTGACATACTCGCTCTTCCTGCTCACTTTCCTCCATCCCATGACCTGCACATCTCAAGAAAGGGAAAACACAGGGTTTTCAGGGGATGCTATTGAATTCTGAGCCTGAAGAGACTTTGTAAAGGTCTCCTTGGGTCTGAAAGAGGATGAATCATTGCTTCAGTCTTTGAACAAGCATGACGGGGGCCTTCATCCCCCAGCTCAGGGGATTTTGTGAAGCCCTTATTCATTTACCATCAACTGCTGGAGTGGGGGAGCTGAACATTCTGTTGCTGGTAGGGCTGTGAATGGAGGATGAAAGGATACAGGAGAAACAGTCACTATCCCATGGGTCCTACAGCGGCTTTGGAACTTATTCCTGGGTGACTACTACTTTGAGCTTTTGCACTTGAAAGAATTATTTAAGCAACCCTATGACTCTGTGATCAAGATTTTCCATAGACAGAAAGTAAGGCTATGTAAATTCCTCTTATAGATCACAAGACCAGCAGTTACACTTGAGTGTGGACAAGGGCAGTTGCATGCTCTTGCTTCCCCTCTGGGGCTGTATTAAGCTGTGGGTTGCCTGTGTCAGTGAGTGAAGAGAATCCCAAGGAAGGTAGGTCAGATGTGAGGACTATGCCCTTTATTCTGGGATGATGATGGCATTGAGGGAAACCTTCCTGTTGAGGTGAATTTCCACCCTTGAAACTTGTTTGACTTGACTCCAAATTTATGGCTCAGGCTTCAACCTTACCATATCAATCTTATGGAACAAAACCAATATTCTCTTACTAATTCTTGGAAAAAATAAACATGGATATAATGTAACATTTACCCTTTTCCCAACAAACTATTTTTTGTGGTGATTATAACTTTCATAAGACATTACCTAATATGAAGTTATATACCCCGTTAAATTAACACAGCCATCTCATCCATGGCCTCCCAAACGGCATGGACCTCAGTTTGTTCTTTTTCAACTTTGAGGATGGATTTAGCTATCTTTGAATTTCCATCTGGCTCTAATAGTTTATTTTTCTCAGATAGTATTTACTCGTCCTGAGTTTTTATCCCTAAGAACTACCTTCCCTGTTACCAAAAGGATAAGACTGGAGTTGACAGCCTTTTGGCTTTGAGACTTTTACTCTGGTTATGAAATTCTTAAGATTTCACTTTAAAAGTTTCTGTACTGACCCATTTACCTGTAAGACTGGGAAGAGCTGAATAAACAAGGCCAAAAATGTCACTAGGATTAAAAACATGAGTTGTTTTTTTGCTGTTGTTTCTTCCATTATTTTTTGTCATTATTTATAATTATTATTTGCTGTACTGTCTTTTAAAGGACAATTTTTTTTTCAAAGCATTCTTTTCTATCTGCCAACAGGGGAATCTAAGTATACCTCTGTGTATACTGAGTGGCACTGCACAGCAGAGGCTCAGGGGTCGGTGGGGACTGCACAGGGCTGGCATGCTGGAAGGGGTCTGAGGGGGGCATGGTCAGAGCCTCACGTTCTCTCATCTGACTTCCTGATTAGAACAGAGTGTTGGACCATGAGATCGTTGAGGTCTTGTTGGGAGGCAGGGGAGGATGAATCAGTGAGGTGGGGTGCTGAGAGACAGAACTCAAGTTGGCCCCCATGCATGGTATGGCCTGCCAGAGCCCTGGGCGACATGGAGAACATGTGGCAACTGCAGGTCAGAAGCTTCTTGGTTGGGCTCTGTCCCTTTCTCTGTGTGGAGATGACTTGTGTGTGAAAGAGGAACAAGTTCAGTACCTTTTGGGCCTGTTGAGGGTGGTGGTTAAGGAGACATTTCTATGAGAACAGAAACTAATTTTTAGATAAATTTCACAACTGGAAATTTAAAGAATTTTTTAAAAATCAAAATCAACTCATTTCATCACTTATCAATGAAAAGCTCATGTGTGACTGAAAACAACCCATAGCCAAACCAAAAAGCCTAAAACAAACCCCTGAGCTTAACCTTCCTTAGATCCCAGAAGAATTCCTTGTGGGTAGGAATAGGGGCCATCTCTCATAAGGTATCTCTGTAATGCGACTATGCTTGGATTTCAAACCAACATCCAACTGTTTTGGTGAAATTCCACTTGTGTAACTTGTTTGACCTGATCCAAAATTTATAGCTCACTCCTCACTGTAAAACCAACATCACTTTAAAATACATTCTCAGCTGGAAGTACGTCATTTTAAACAGTCACATAAAAAATAGGGAAACTCAGAGTTTCCTAGGCCACTTCCCCATCTGTTAAGCATGTATGCACACAGCACTGTGAGCTGGGGGCTCCCTGTGAGGAGGAAAAAGGTGTGTCTACCGCCACCCAGTTGGAGCGGGTGGCACAGCCCCGTTAGGAAATCTCAGCAGGCAGGAGGGTATAAATCCCTGTAGGGACGCTGAGCTGCCACTGAAGGTGAAAGTCTGGCCTGGCAGTCTTCCCCAGGCAAGAAGCTGTAAGGTGCAGGAATGCAGAGCTGCAGGTAAGAAGCTTGATAGAGGCAGGGAGAGAGACCTGGGGCCAGAACACCAGGATCCATTTTTAATGGGACCTCAGGCAAGTCTTCTCATTTCTGGGTGACCTTTCTCATCAGTGAGGTTCTATACCTAGGTAAAGGTCACTTTCAGCTCTCCTTCACCTTTCTCTGATTCAATTTCTCTGTTAAAAAGGGGCCTGGATCGGAGAGTTCCTAAGGACCATCTACAACTTACAGGCAACAGCAAACGGGTTGTGGAATCTACCTTGAGGAAGTGGATGGGTTCTTACCTCAGGAGAGACTGAGCCAGTGGGGCCGAGTGTACAGCATTTCTTTCTTGGAAGGCTCAGGGGACTTTCTTAGTGTGGAGTCTTTGTTTCTTTAAAGCAAAGGTAGCTTTCTCAAACACCTGAGCTCCCAGGCAGGCTCTCAAGAGCCTGTATGTCCCGGAGGCTAGTGGCCTGAGTTCAGCTTTGTCTCTTTCTGGTTGTGTGATGGCATATGATTTACCCTCTTAGTGCCCCCCCTTTCTCCATTTGCAATCAGAGATCTTCACAGTCAACGACCTTGAGTCATCTAAAGCACTTAGGACAGCACCTGGCACAGAGATATGCTATATAAATGTCCTTGCTATTTGAAGTCCCCTCTTCTGAGTCCCCACTCCCTTTTGGAGGCTTTTCCTCTGTGAACCCCAGCCCCTTGGGCCCTGCCCTCAGTCTCTTCACATATGGTGGTCTTAGGCCTCTCTCTGGATTTCCTACTGAGTAAACTGAGGAAGTAGAGTGACCTACCCTTCCCAGTCCCTCCCTGTGTTCTGTCTGCAGTGGAATGCTACCCCCCACCCCGGTGATCCATCCTACCGCTCATCAGACTCACCCTCCTCTGCCTTTGCTTTTCCAAGAGGCTTTCTCTCTGATCAGTGTGGTGTTCCCATAGGTATAAGCACAGAAGAGTGTCTTCCCGGGCCCCTCATTGATTGGGTATGCTATGTCAATTGTCCTGTGCTTCCTCTACCCTCCTCACTTCCAGCTCACCCTCCAAAGTCCAACTGTTTGATACCCAGAGTTGAGCCATCCCATGCAGAGTTCATTCCCTCCTCCCATACCCAGGTATAACAGACTCTGCCTCTGCTACAGTAGAGCTGAAGAGGTGCAAGGGGAACTGACTCAGGGAGCTTTTTTGTGTTGCTACCACCTGCTTCCCATGAGGAGACACTTAATCATGACATCATGACAGTGCCTCTGCCCATAGGCGCTCAGACTTGTTCCTTCATCAGAAGTGCCTACAGTACAGATTCCTCGACCTACACGGATTTTCAGATTCAGCCGGTGTGGGTGTGGGCCCATGGACTTGCATCTTAGACAGGAACTGTCTGGGAACCCTAATTTGAGGGCTATTTCATTGGAAGATGGCTAGTGGTGAGTCTGAGAGAGAGTTATCTGGGGACAAGGGCCTTTTCCAGTCAATGTTTCTTGCATCCCTTGGGAGTCCTGAAAACGTGAAGGTGATCTTGATTCCTTAGATCTGATGTAGGGCTGAGAGTCTGCATTTCTCACAAGCATCATTGTTCATGTTGCTAGTCAGAGGATCATACTCTGAGTAACCAGGCTTTAAAGAATTCGGAAAGAGACCTTACTTGAGAGTAAGGGAGACGTAAGTAAGTGTAAGGCATTGGGTGGATCTTAAATTTCCTAGAGGAAATAGTCATCAAAATGTTTTACACATGTGTAATAGGCAGAACTGTAGAATGAGACCCATTGATTCATGCCCTTGTATAATCCTTTCCCGTTGTGTGAGGCTAGACTATGTGAATAGGATGGACGACTTAGATTGGACAGTTATGACTTAGATTACCTTATATGGTAAGGTTGAAGGAATTATATGGGTATAATTTAGGCTCTCAGTCAGTTGACTTAAAATTAATCAAAAGAAAGAATGTATTTGGTAAGCCTGACATAAGTGCCTAGCTCTTTATAAGAGGGTCAGAGTCAAGAGGTCAGAGAGATTTGCAGCAGATGTTCTGTTGGCCTTAAAGAAGCAAACTGTCCTATTGTGGAGAGGATCATGGGACAAGAAACTAGGTGGACTTTGGGACAAGAAACTGGGTGGTCTTTGAGACCTGGCCCCCAGTGGATAAAAAGTAGGGACTTCAGTTTTCCCATTACAACTATCATGTGATTTTGGAAGAGGACTCCAGGTTCAAAGAGGGAGCTTAGGTCATGTGATCTTTGACTTGAATCATGTGGAACTCTAAGCAGAGATACCATCTGAGCTGAGCCTAGACATTAGACTTAAAACAGATGGGGTTGAGTGTGTGATCACTGGTATCACAGCAATAGAAAACAGATGCTATGCCCCTGTCTTTCTTTTTGACTACTGGACATGCCAATCCAAGTTTCAATGCAGTGGTAACCTAAAACACCTCAGTAGCTTAGAGAGTATCAGTTGATGTCTTGCTCATGCTATCTCATCATTGTCGGTCAACTGAGCCAGACTTTGATTGTTCATCATGACTTCTCCAGGACACAGGCCATGTTCAAAACAGGCTCTACAAATACCATCTGCTGAATTCATGTTGTTTTGACATGCTGGGTGTATGTGTTGATAATATCCCACAGGTTTGTTACTGGACTCAAAACTTCCTCATGTCCTCAGGAAGTGGTTTTCAAAGTGTAGTCCTTGGACCAGTGGCTTTAACAGCAGCTGAGAACATACTAGAAATTTAAGTCCTTGGGCCTCTACTCACACCTACTGAGTCTGACAAAGCAGGAAAAACAAATGAATCACTAGCTGGATCTTAGTAGATCTCAGCCTGTCAGGACATCAAGCTATGCTATAATGGCAACAGTAATACATAAAAGCTCAGTGTTCACCATGGCCAGAGAATAGAGCGTTGGAATGGGGAGCACCAGTTGTGAATTGAGTAGGCCTGGAAATCAATGTGTTCCTACCAGTGGTGTGTCAAGCTTCAGGGATTCAAAGAAGAGAAACTCTTAGTGCCCCAAAGTGAGACAGACCCAGACATTGGTGAATGAGTACATTGTAGCTACCATGGTTACATTGTTCAGTTAGGTTAGCTGCAATGGCTGTAACCCAGGATTTCAGACTGTAAGCTTAATAGAGCTGTTCTCACCATTGGCACATGCTGGTGGGGTTGGCTGCTGGCCAAGAGAAGCCAGAGGGCTGAATGTGGGAATGGGGACATTTATGTTAAATGTACAGCTTTTGGGGAGAGTCCACTTTTTGGAGTGGTACTTTTGTGGCTGGTGGAAACCCAGTGAGTCTGAACTGACTTTAAGCCAAAGACAGGGTTTTTTATGCCAAGGGATTTTCCCACATAGTGTAGATAAAAAGTTCTTAGGTTCTTCAGTTTGATTTTTTTTTCTGGTGTGTGTGGAGGGGCATTCTTGCCTTTCTTTTTTCTCATAGATACTCTGCACATAGGACTCAGGATAGTGGCTGTCCTTGGTGATCCTCAGAGAACAGGCCATTCTAGGTGGGCACATTTTTCAGAGAATAGTTCTGTCCTGACATCCTAACAATTTTGGAAGGAACTATTTCTGCAATAGGTACCACATGGAGAAACTTTATACTGCTGCAGATCATTGTCCTCTCAATATATCTTAATTCAGTTTTGTAGGAAGACTCTCACTTGGCTTCTGAGTCCCCTTTCCACCAGGGAAGGGAAATTCAGTCTGCTACTATGTGCTATCTCTATTGCAGATGCTTCACATCTGCCCCTTTTGGTTCATCAGATTTCTTTGAGTGGATACTCAGTTCTAGTTTCTCATCTGACCCGTTCTTGAAGCCTTCTTCTTGTAGGCATTCCCAAATACTGATGGAGAGTGTGGTCGATATATACCTGCTGGCCTGCGGGTCTTCATTAGTTTCCTTAGAGCTCTCTATGCATCTGCCTGGTCATAAGGTCACTACTGCTTAGCTCTATGGCTGAGAAAATCCAAAGTCTGATGGCTAAGCTGTGTGAGAGCACTGTTCTGGCCAACTTGTCCTCGCTGCTTCCGACTGGCTCCATAGGTCCTCTGCATTTGGACATGAATCTTGTTTCTTCCGCAGTTCTGACTGGTAATACCCAAAATAACTAGCAATCAATGGAGGTCCTGCACCAACCAGTTGGAATGGATACTGTGGTATCTATTGTTGGATCTTCAGGATGTTGGGGAGAACCAAGAAAGCTGGAGCAGCGGAGGGAGGAGAGCTCAGCATCTTGGCAAAGTGGGTATCTACCAACAGTGAATCCTGTTTCCTCATCTGGCCCTTTGGCTCCTTCTTGACTGTAGCTTCACCTCTTGGTCAGTTGGTCTTTCATAAATGTAGCCCCATCCCAGCCCCATTTACCTCTCCTTCTCCACTGGAAGCACTGATCTCGCTCAAGGACCAAAACCAAACCCTAGCATCTCTTCTGTAGATATAGCATAACATTATTGCCTTTCTTTCCTGCCACCTCCAACTGAGTAGAAGCACTTGGACTTCCCGGGGGGATTCCTATACAGAGCCCCCTTTGGAGTGGAGCAAAAGTTCTTTCAGTTGAGTTTTAAAATAACCCCACTCTCATTGTGCTTTCGAGTTTTAAACACAGGTTAAGTAGGACTGCTACCTGCTTCCTCTTCCAGCTCTTCCCTTTACCTTGGTCCCTAAAGGACATTTGTCTTCTACTTGTCCTTCCTACTGGGAAAGACTGTCCTCCCTGTCTAACCCACTTTCTTTCCTCCTTTCTAAACAGTACATTATGTTTCCCCCTTACTGGAGCCATCTTGGTAAAACATTAGGACAAGGATAGCAAGAAGGAAACACTGGAAAGTAGTTACAATATTACCTTAAAAAATATGTCATGCTCCATCCTAGAGGAAGAGAGACGGAACAACGTTTGAACAGTTCTTTATGATTCACGGTATCACTGGAAGCCTCGGCGGTTTCGTGGTCTTACAACCTGATGCTGTTAGTGGGGCACAGTAACAGGGAGGGGCATGTTGGTTCTGCTCTCTGGGGCCCCAGATGGTGGTCCACTTTGGCTTTTCCAGCTGTGTCAGTTCTTCCCCTGTCTCTTTGCTACTGGGCAGTCAATTGCTGTTGATTGAAGTGTTCACTTTCTTCTATCGGTTATTTCCCACTTTAGCTACCTCTAATTTCTCTCTCAATCTCTCTCTCTCTCTCTCTCTCTCTCTCTCTCTCTCTCTCTCTCTCTCTCTCCTTCTCTCTCCTATAAAGCCATAAGAATTCAGTCATGGAGCCTTTACTTTAATGATTTAATCATTTCCCAAAGGCTTTACTACTAAACACTATAAATGGATTAAGTGGATGAAACTCCTGCCTCCTGTGGTGACAAGTTACATTCAACTGCTAAGGCCATCTCTCCCGAAGACTCCTTTCTGCTCCAACCACCACACACATTGGGGCTGATCAGATAAACTTACCAAAATCCACATGCGGGTTCTGAGACAAAGGAACCATGTGCCAATGGCCAGGAGGACTGAGTCTTTAATACAACAAGCACCAAAGTTGGTAGGATGCAGAGGCAGGTAAATATTGGACAGTGCCGCAAAAAGCCCTCTCCAAAGCCGGAATAATTGCAGCTACTGCAAAAAGCTCTACCCTGCCATAAAACCAGCCATTCCTCAAATCTGCTTTTGAGCGAGTATTCTAGTCAACCTTTGCTCCATGAAAATCATACCAAAATGTAGTGGCTTAAAATAGCCACCATTTGGATTGGAGAGATGGTTCAGTGGTTAAGAGTTCTGACTGCTCTTGCAGAGGACTGGGGTTCGATTCCCAGCACCCACATGGTGGCTAATGACCATTTGAATCTCTAGTTTTAGGGGGAATCTGATGCCTCTTCTGGCCTCCATGGGCATTGCATGACATAGGTACACTTACATACATGAGGCAATACAGTCATATACATAAAATAAAAATAATAAAAAATTAAAATAACCATTATTAATCAGGCTTGGCAGTGCATGCTTTAATCCCAGCACTCAAGAGGTAGAGGCAGGTGGATCTCTGCAAGTTTGAGGCCAACTTGGTCTCCATAGTGAGTTTCAGGTCCACCAGGGATGTGTGGTAAGACTCTGTCACAAAACAAGATGAAACAAAACAAACCTACATCCCGTGATAATTCATAAATCACATAGGCCATGCACTTGAGAAGAACTAGGCAATTCTTCTGTGCCATGTAGTTCGAGTGAGTTCAAACAGTGGTTCTTGGCTGGTGAATAGAGTTGTCTGGAGAGTCTAAGATGACTTCACTCAAATGGGTGATGGCTTTGTGGGGATTTAGAGGTTGCTTACAGTCCTATTGGACCCCCTAACACATGGGCTTTCTGGGGCAGTCAGGCTGCCTCCAGGGTGGTTTTCTGTAAAGCTAGCATCACAAGGATGCCGGATAGAAGCTGCATGGATCTTCCTGATGCAGCTTCAGAGTCCATACAGTAGCCCTTCTGCTGCATTCTTCTAGTCACACGTGAGTTACAGGCCTGTCCACATTCAAGGGAGGTGAGCTGTACTCCTCCTCTTGGTGGCAGACTGAATGGTAACCATATAGAAGACTATGAAGGACGGGAGATATGAACGTGGACAGCTGGAAAATACAACCTACTGCTCTGCAGAAGTAGCCATGCTCATGCATACAGAGAAAGCGTGTCAGAGGAAGGCTTCTGCTCTGCTGCTGTAAGTACACACACCCTTGTGCTGAGGTCCTACTGGCTCTGTTTCAGCTGTTTGAATCTCTCTGTCCTTGTTTCTCCTAACTGTGTTAGATTTCAGATAGGCAAGATGTCTGAATGACTTGCTATTCAAATATTTGAGTTGTTTCCAACACTCGGGTTACAAGAGTTGGAAATCCACATTTGGTCTGAAGGGTGTTGTGTGTGCTAGCAGCCGGACCTCAGTACCAATGCCAGCAGAGCTCCCAATTACTAGTTAGTATCACCTAACAGCGGTCCAAGAGAGCTAGAACTCCAATGCCAAGGAGAACTCCTAAGTCCTGAGTGTTGGCTCTGTGCTTTGCTGACTACAGGAAGTGAGGTGGCTTGGTTCAATATTTGTCTGAAGCCCCCCCACATTAATACTTTAGAAATGGAAATTATAGCCATGAGCAAAGCCTGTGCTCAAATCAATATTAGCTTAGAATATTGGGTTTTCTATACGGTAGGGAGGTCTGACCAGCACACCCTTTGTATTTCCAGAGATGAAGAAACTGTGACCCAGATTGTGTAATTGACTCTGTGGTTGCCCAAGATCACATAGCCAGTAAATTGCAGAGTGAGGACGGAGGCCAGTTCCAGCCTTCATTCTATGAGCTTAAGGACTCCATCACTGGGGTCAGCCTGAGAGAAGGCATCAGAAAACTTACACCCCTGACCAGCATTTAAATCTGTGTCTTTCTGTGTTTTTGTTAAACATATTTCTATAATTTAGATTTATGCACATGAACTTGCTGATCCATTAGGCAGCACTGCATACATTTCTAGTATAGTACCTAGTGTGAGTTAACTTACTGACTATGGTGCCACAAAATTCTGAGGCTATGAGGTGGAACAAAAGCAGGAAACAGGCAGAATGTCGAGGGTGGACCCTGTGACTTCTCACTCAGGTCTGCCAGCTGTGGGGCCTCACAATGCTTCTTACCCATCAAATATCTGAGTCTGCTTCTATAAAATGCTGGGGAGCACTACCTTCTCCCACCTCTTTATACGCCATCCTTCACACATACACATACACACACACACACACACACACACACACACACACACACACACACACACACACACACACACACACACACACACGTCTATCCTGAAATGGGTCCTTTTTACAGATGAGAATGAGTCTCACACGTGTGATGTGTCCTGCCCTCAGCCATGTCGCTGCCACAGAGGAAGCAGAGTTTCCGCTTTCTGTTCCTGTGTGTTTCCCACTGTGTTTTCTGAACAGGTTCACTGAGGCCCAGAACTACTCAAAGGTGTAGACAAGCTTCCTCTGAGTAGCTCCAGGTGACAGAATCTGACCAATGAATGTTTGGGGGTGACAAATTTGGACTCTGAAAGGACAGAAAAGTTTCAGATACATTAATCCTAAGATGGGAAATATCCCATCTTTTAAGAGGACAAGTTTGACCATCTATAGAGGATGCTAGGAAGACTGAGTAAATTTTGGAACCCCATCTGATGCCAGGTGTTGATGCCTCTTCAGAGTGGAGAGTGGATACCAAGGCTGAGGGCTGTTGAGATTTGGGTTTACACCCTGCTTTATTATCCCCGTTAGGTCTGTGCTCCTGTGCAAGTTACTCAGTGTATCTGAGGGTACTTCTATTGCTTTATGTTTGTAGTAGGGATGCCGTGCTGTACCAGATTCAAGCTTTTTATCTCCTGGAGTTGTGCAAAGAGCAAGCCCCCTAATACAATACAAAGCAGGGAGAGACTGAAGTGGGTAGATTTGTCCTGGATGCCCAGGGCCTAGCAGGCACAGCTTCCACTTGTCCTTCTGATAGGGATGGAAACTTCTCTGCACTACATGGGGAGAACCTGAGGCAGGAGGAAGGTGAGGGAAGCATTGGGTGCTTGCTAGGAATACTGAGTCACCCAGGTTTACTTAGAGCCGAAGGTGTGAATAGAGGATTTGAATGGGTGGCCACATGAGTTGGGCTGATGTCTCTTTGTCAAGAGTGCTTGGGAGAGAAATTGGTCAACTTCATGCCTGGCAGAAGTGCTTTTAGTGAGAAGGGCTACATGGCAGAAAGACAAGTATAGAGTGTAGACTTCTAGCAGTATATTACTTTAGCATCGCAGATCTACCTCTCTGAGATGCAATCCCATGTGAAGCACTTCGATCTGTTCTTCCTCAGATACAGCTTCTGGGAAGTGATGCTATCTCCCAGGCCTCTGAGGGAGTAGGGAACACTGATTAAGGAGTTGCTAGCTGTCATTCTAGCATGATTGTGCAACCAGAAATACTATCATTGTCTGCATGAGGCTGAATTCCCTTAATTCTGGGGCTCAAATACTGCTGTTCTGTTTTCTATAGAACTGAAGTGATTTGTGATCAGCCCATCAGGTGCTCTGCCTCGAGCCAGTGCATTTTCCAGTACAAGCTGCTGCACATCCTGTCATGCATTTCTCTGTACTGGCATCTAGAGGATCTTCTTTCTCTTTTACCTTCTTAAAATTTTGTGATTTCCACCAGTCTGGTACTTTTAATTACCATGTGCTATGTAGCTTAGGCAAAGACCAAATGTGCTCTGATAAATTTTGTCTAGACATATATTATATTCCTTGAATTAGTTGTATGTATAATTTGTCAGTAGGTTGTTTGATTAATATAGTTCCCTCTGGTTTTTTTTTTTTTTTAACTAGTTAGGCGTTATTTATCTCTTGCATTGTCTAACCCTTCCACCATGGTTTCTCCATGTAAAGTGCCCCCATTTTTCCCATTTCTCCCTTAATAATACCCTTCTCCTATGGTCCCACCTCTCTTGAGATCCTTCTTTTCCTTTGTCCCCAAAGTTCCTTGTATAACCCTCTTTCCCCCCCTTAAAATAAGTAACCGACTGTGACTAGTAATAATCAGATACATAGAGATTAGAGATGCATGTGCAAACATCGAAGTGTTAGTAGCATTAAAAATGAGTTTTTCTGTATGAAACAGTATATTTTAAAATGAAATGGAGATCTTTTTTAAAGGTTAAAACCTCATTCAATTTTATGTCTTATAGGGTTTATACTGAGTTCAATATTGTATAACTGTATTAATTCAACTGTGAACCTAAAAATTTATAGCCAATTTTGAAAAAGATGCACCTTTGCTCTGGAAATCATTTATTGACTATGTTAATGCTGTAACAAAATGCTTCTTCTTATCATGTGGTTATTAAATAAATAATTCAAAAATTTTTGTGATTTCCCGAGACTTAGATGATTTTGATGTAAATATCTACTCACTTGTGGGTTGCAAAAGGCTTTATATGACATACATGGGAGGTGTGGGTTTTTAGGGATTTGTTTTCCACACTGGATATGACTAAGTGATCGGTACATGGGCCGATAACCAGTCAGCTCTGTTACTGTTCAACACGTGAACCTTGTTTTGTTCTTCAGTGACTGTGCTGACTCGGAGGTGGAACAGTCACCTAAAACATTCAGGTAGCAAAATGAGGATAGTAATGAAACCAAGCCTAATCTCCTGGCCTAATTCAGTCCAGACATAGTCAAATACACTCTAGAATAAAAATTTTAAAATATCACTTATTTATTAAGATTTTCATACATGTATAAAATGTGCTTTGATCACATTCAACCCCCAATATCCCTATCCAACTCCCCTCAGAATCCCTCCATGTCTCTCTCTCAACCTCATGTCCTCTTTTCATATCCCAGAGTCTAGTTAGTGATTCCTGTGTGTGCATGTGTGTGGGACCATCCATTGGCACATGAGCTACAAGGGGCCACATCCCTAAAGAAAACTGACTCTGTTTCTCCTAGCAGCCATCAACTGCCAGTAACTCCTCAGCTAGAAGTGCGGCTTCATGAGCCACTCCCCTATCGATGCTGAAGTGTTGACTGTTGATCTTGTATAGGTCTTTGCAGGTAACCACAGCTGCTGTGGCTCTTGAGTGCAATGGCTCTGTCATGTCCAGAAGACACTACTTTGTAACAGTCCTCTCGAGCCCTGGCTTTCAGACTCTTCCCACTTTCTTCTTCTGTGATGATCCCTGAGTGTGTAGGGAGGGGCTGTGATACAGATGTCCCATTTAGGGCTGAGTACTCTACAGTCATGCCTTCTCTTTACTCTGCCCTACTTTGAGTCTCTGTATTCATGACGTCCTCTGCAAAAAGAAACTTCTCTGATGAGGACTGAGCACTCCACTGACCTGTGGGTAGAAAGATAAGCACTTAGAAGCAGTTTGATACCATGTCCATTTAACTAGGTAATACCAATAGGGTCTCCTCTAGAGCATGTGACCTCCCAAGCCATGAGTTCTTATTTTATTTATTTTATTTTATTTCATTTTATTGTCTTTTTGAGTCAGGGTCTCCCTGTAGCCCCAGCTGTCCTGGAACTCACTTTGTAGACCAGGATGGCTTCAAATTCACAGAGATCCACTTGCCTCTGCCTCCCGAGTGCTGGGATGGGTGGCGTGTGCCACCACGTCCGGCATGAGTTCTTATTTTAAATGGCTGGCTGAGTATTCATTTGGGGGACTATGATTTACATATTTGTTCTCTATCTGTGAAAAAAATGTATTCCTACATGTATTCTGAAGTATTTAGAAAACCTACGGTTTTTAGGTGTTTAGGGGAAAATATGTGTATACTTGTTTGTATATAATTATGGAAAGAGAAGTTAATAATTAATGAGTCCAAGCAAAATATATACTGATGTAAGCCATACCATTCTTTGAGGTTTCCAGTCTGTTTGTACCTTTTAGAAGTTAAATTGAAAGGTGGTGTAAACACCTACATATTGTGAAGCTGTATACATTTCCATGTGCAGAGAGAAGTCTGGGCCAAGAGACAGACAGGTGGAGATCCAAGGCAGGTGACCTCTCCTGGGCCTCAGAAAGTGCTGTGTGAGGATGCAGCTGGGTCACTGTGCTGCCTGCCTGCTCAGCTCTGGTCATCAGAGCTCTCTACTTTGCTGCATTTTTTCCTCCTGTCACCTCTTCACACATG